AAAAAAAAAAAAAAAAAAATCCAAAACCATAAAAATGCATAAAAAATCCATGCCTCTTATTTTGGTGTATTTCTCATAATGCTGCAACTAGCTATCTGCATTTTTCCAGTTTGAAGGTGGTTTTGGTTCAGTGTGGTTATTTTTTTCTGATAAGCTCCATGGTTTACAGAATCTTCTGGGAATCAAAGAAATTTGAAGGACTTACTGACATGTTGGAACCATGGTATGGTACTGCTTATTCCATTGAGAAAGTCACTACATCCATGATTCAGGTTTGTTTTTGGGTTTATGTGTAATGCCTGATTTTTCATTGTTCATGTTAAGTGATAAAATTCCACATCTTGAAGTTAAGGGGAAACCTTTGGTCTTACATACATGCACTACTCCACCTATTACCAATTGGTTTTGGATTGGATGTTGGCCTTCCAAACTTAATCATGTTGGAAAATATCAGATACCCATGACATATATGGGTATTATGGTATGGATTTCCACTTATGGGGAGAAAATTGCACAAAATAATCATCATATCTCTGTTGCGCAGTTGTCTTTGTTTGAGATGAACCGTAGCCCTTTGTAGTGTTGCTAAATTTCAAATTAATTAAGCCTATTTGGTTTTTGTAATTGAAATCTTTGAAACTTAAGTGCCTGGTGAAATCTTTGGTTGCAGGAGTGGATGTCATTGGCTCCTAATGAGAATCTGCATCTACCAACACCAAATATCTTCATCCCAACAGATTTATCACTTAAAGATCTGGAAGAAAAGGTTTGATAAATCCCTCAGTTTGGTCTTTCAGAATCATTTATAAATAGTTTTTCTGATTAATTTGAGTTTGGAACAGACCAAGTATCCAGTTTTGCTTAGGAAGTCATCCCATTCGAGAGTGTGGTACAAGCCTGATAGGACATTCTCCTCTCCTAAGGCATATGTTAAGATAGACTTCAACTGCCCCTATGCTAGCAATTCCCCTGAAGCTCAAATTCTCACATCAATTTTTGCCCAGTTGGTGATGGATTACTTGAATGAATGTGGTAAGTTAGATTGCATATTGTGTTCAAATACTTGAATAAATATTTACTATCCTGTATGGTAAAATTATAAGTTTATAGCCTTTAAATATGCAATGGGGTTTCAATTTGCCCTTTCCTTGCATGGCCTACTGTCTTCCACATTCTTTCTACTGGGCCTTCAGAATTTTTTTATTTTTATTTTTATTATTATTATTCTATTTGTCAATAGCACTGTATTTTGACCAACTTGTTTTATTTCTTCCCAGCTTACTATGCCCAGGTTGCTGGCCTTCATTACTACATAAGCAACACTAATAGGGGTTTTGAGGTATTTTTTTCCCCCCTCTTTTTTATATGGTACTGTCTTAATAGTTTTTAGATGCAGTTTGGTATCCATATAACAAATTGGACAGGTCTTTCCTTCTCTTCTCTTTTTTAAAATAGAAGAGATCCATTTCAATTTATCTCTGTTTGTCTTGCATTTGATTGTTGAACATTTTTTACCATCTTATCTTATTGTAAGCATCCATACAATTAGTTAGTATGGGAGATCCATTTTAGACCAGACTGCTTTGGAATTTATGTTATTGTTGCTTTGCTCAATGGTATACTGAATGCGATCATGCTAGCTTCCTCATAAGCTAACATATGCACTTGTTGATGATAGAACAAATTCTGGTAATTTGTAATATTATATATATATCAGAGATACAGATTGAATAGATTCCTGCTTTATTTTTTTGCCTTTGGTTTTATTCGATTTTTTATTGGCTTGACCGTCTTCTACTCTCTGATATCTATGGTTTGAGTACTTAAGAGCGTGAAAAAAATCCATGAAAGGTTATCATTTGGTAGTAGTTACTCTGTTTGATGTGTTGTATTTGTAAGTAACCAGTTCTTCTTCAGGTAACATTGGATGGTTATAATCACAAACTACGGATCCTATTGGAGACTGTTGTTGATAAAATTGCAAAATTTGAAGTAAAACCTGACAGGTTTTCTGTAATCAAGGTAATGAAGTCTAGCAACTCCAGGTATAGTAGATGTCACTTCATTTTATTTTTGCCCCTGAAAAAACTCTTTAACATACTACAAAATAATTTCTGCCAATTAAATATCTTTACCTAGCTTCTGGAATGTATTTCATGTGTTCAATTGTATCCTGACACTTTGTAAGCTTCATCATGTTAAAGCCTATTCAGCCTCACAGATTTATGCATAACTATGTAGTTTGCCTGCCTAAAGAGACGGCATTTCATCACTTTCACCATTATACATAACCATGTCCTCATAATACAGCTTTTCAAACATGCTAATGTATAACATTATTGCTCTAGACTATGGAGGATCTTTTATTTGAGCTTCTTTTTCTTAGTCTCTAAGTTGCATTCTCTAGTGTCCTCTGAATTTCTTTCACAATCCTGTCTTTTTTTAGGAACGGGTAACACAAGACTTTCAAAATCTGAAGTTTCAGCAACCTTACGAGCAGGCCATGTACTATTGCTCATTATTATTGGAGGACCACTCATGGCCTTGGATGGAAAAACTTGAAGTCCTGCCAAATATTAAAGCTGAAGACCTTGCCAACTTTGCTCCCATGATGCTCTCAAGGGGCTTCCTTGAGTGTTACATAGCAGGTCCTCCTTATTCTTCTTCCCCCTTTCACTCCAATAAAGTTGTTGGTTTAGGTTATGTTTGCTATATTCTAAATATTATTTTGTTATCTCTTAGGTAACATTGAACGTGCTGAGGCAAAGTCAATGATAGAGTATGTTGAAGATATTTTCTTTAAGGGCTTAAATCCTATATGTCAACCATTATTTCCATCCCAGCATCTCACAAACAGAGTTGTAAAACTTGAAAGAGGCATAAATTACTTCTACCCCAAGGAAGGACTAAATCCAAGTGATGAGAATTCTGCCCTTCTCCACTATATTCAGGTAAATTACATTTGTTTTGGAATCTACAAAAAGATACTCAATTTTGTGAGGGCATTTAGTCATCTATTCTACAAATCTCTAAGTTATTAAAATGGTTTGCAAATGGTGTAGTTATTAAATCAAAAGATCCTCAGTTACTATATCATATTGCTTAAGTTATCTTGTAGCTTATTTGATAGCCGAGTAGTGTGATTTTTATTTTTTCCGGGTAAGATTTGCCACTGATCTAATTCTTAGTAGTGTTTTGATGTCCTATAAAAATAATAGATTTCTGATGTAAGTTTTCTGTAAATGTCTAGGTTCATCGAGATGATTTTATGTTGAATGTGAAACTTCAGCTTTTTGCTCTTATTGCTAAGCAACCAACCTTCCATCAACTTAGATCTGTTGAGCAACTTGGGTACATTACTGTTCTCCGGCAGAGGTATGATGAGTTTCCCATCCGCAAATTTAGACATCATTATCTTATTTCTTATTTAAGTTTACTTTTCTGCCCATTAGGAATGATTTTGGAATCCATGGATTGCAGTTTATTATCCAGTCCACTGTGAAGGTACATGTTGTTCTGTCCTTTCTATGTCCTTTCTATATATTATTTGCCGTCTTGATGATTCATCCCTAAAACTTGGTCAACCCTGCACAGGGCCCAGAGCATATTGATTTGAGAGTTCAGGCATTCCTCCAGATGTTTGAGACCCAACTTTACAAGATGACCCAGGATGAATTCAAGGTAAGATTGAAGTAGACTTGAGTAGTTATTCTTCAATTCATTTGGTTTTCACTTGAACCTCCATCATAAGGTCCACATTAGTACGCTACTGGATACCATTCAGACTTGGTGTCTCCACCTGCATGCATTTTTGCTTGTCCATGTATGTGCATATGTTTTTGTGGGTGACACTTATAGTAAACTCAGTGCTGAACTTGTGGTCACACAGAGCAATGTAAATGCATTGATTGATATGAAGCTTGAGAAGCACAAGAATCTAAGGGAAGAATCTAGGTTTTACTGGAGAGAAATTGCTGATGGAACTCTAAAATTTGATCGGATAGAAGCTGAGGTATGTAACATTTCTGATCCTATTTCGCCTGTAAAAGGGTAAATGAGCATCCATTAGATTCATTGCAGGACTTTTAAATGTAATAGGGTGACATGAAAATCACATTTGTGGTCTTCATTTCTCTCCATGTACACTATTTGCAAGGAACATAAATCACTAATAAGGTGAATATTAATCGCGTGTTCTAACAGGTTGCAGCACTAAGGCAACTTACACAACCAGAACTGATAGACTTCTTCAATGAGTATATAAAAGTCGGTGCAGCGCAGAAGAGGACCCTGAGCGTACGTGTGGTTGGGAAGGAACATTTGGCAGAGTATAAAGCCACGAAAAGTGAAGTGGTTCAACCGGACGAAATTGATGACATATTTAGTTTTAGAAAATCATTACCTCTTTATGGATCGTTCAGAGGAGGCGCTGGTCATGTAAAATTGTAGTTTCGAGAGGAGAGGGTGGAATCAGTGTTGGAGCTTCAGCTCTTGAAATGGAGATAACAAACACAAACAAGCTTAGGTCACTGAAAAAGCTCAATGTTCAGTAGTTATCTGCACGGTACACAAGCAGTGCCAATGAAATTGTTTACTTTATATTTATTTTTTTCTAATTTCTCTCTAGGACTGAAAATGAAACTAAAGTCAAACATACATGAAAGAAATAAGTTAAATAACCTTTTTTAAGAAATATATTTAATTTTTTTTTACAATACCTTGTTAAAATGATTATAAATTTTAAACGTATATCAAATTGATTAATCTTTCATTTGCACGTTAAATCCTATTAATTCGACTATATTGCTTTAAATTTTTACAGTTTTTCATTGTACATTCTTTATTTTTTTCCTTTTAGACAATTTTAAATAAATTTATCCCTATTTAGAGATGGAACTATTATTACATTTTATTTAAATTATTGATATTATATTTTTTAAAATAATAATTATTTTTTTTAAAAAAATTTGATATTTGATATTTTTTATTCTTAATAAATTAAAAAATATAATAACTAATTAAAATAAAAATATACGCTATTAATAATTAAAGGGTGACAATATTATCAATCCTATTTAGGACTGTAAGAAACGCTATTAAACAAGTCGCTTAACCGTACTCCTACTCAACCGTCCATTTTTGTTTCTCTTCCCTTCTCTCTCAATGTTACCTTCTCTACGGCTTGTACCGCGGTGGAGCAGAGAGGAGCCTTAGGCCACCGTCATGCGCCGTCATGGCTGTAAGGGCATGTATACGCGGGACACAGGGCAGAGCTCAAGGCTCTGCCGCACCTCCGCTCTCTGTTATAAGTGCATGGCAATTATAATAAAAACACTTTTATCCAATCATTTGTCTTTACCTGATTCTTCTTAAGGGACCTGTTTCGTTAAAACACACTACATGCATTTAATATAGTTACTCCGGCACGTTACGTTCACCACTTAAAGACATATGCTTCATCAAGCGCACATCATGTTATGATTATTATGTTAACTAAGCCACGTGAATATCGGTAAATGACGTGGGTATCTTGCCAAAATGTACAAGACCCACGAAGAAAGATACGATAAGGAAAGATACGATAAATACACAATGATAAAGGAAGACACACTAAAAAAATATTAACTTAAGCATTGGAGTTTCTCCCGAGGACCAACCTCAGGATCTTGTATCTGCCTGGAGAGAAGATACACGAAAGGATACATGAAAGGAAGATCTTGAAGGTTCTCTGCAACAACAATGGCCTCGCTGAGCCAACCAAAGCGTTTTGGCTTATTCTCTCCGCATCATTTTCCTATGTTTCAATATTTCCCCCATTTTCTTTACAAATCCAAATCTTGTTTGGAAAATTTCCGTCATTTTCTACGCCTTTTCTGCTATTCTAGATCGAGTCTAGTCAATTTCCTTCATTGGGATCTTCTTGCAAGGTATTGTCCTGAGCTTTTTTATTTATATATAATGGAAAATTTTGAGTGATGGAGGATTTTGAGTATTGGGTGGTTAATCAAAATGGTTGGTAAATTTGGTAAACAATTAGATGATTTGTGTAATGATTTTGACAAGATCTGTTCACCGAAAGGCTTGGTCATGGATTTTTAAAGGATTGGAGTTCAATAACGGAGGATAGGCGGGTCTCTGGTGATTCCTGGTTGTGGGTATTGATCGTGGGAAAGGAAGAGGGGAAA